AGAATCCTAGAAGATTTTAACATTCAAATATCCAGGTTTGAAAACAAAACCCTGTATGATTTTCTATGATTTCTCATCCTCGTGGCTCACAGAATGAAATAATTGAACTAGTGTACTGAAATATGCTTTGCTTTAAATTAGATGAGTGAGATAAAGAAATCAACAAAATTTTGTGTTTTCAAAATTGGAATTTTAGTTCAGATAACCACTATCTTTGGAAATAGGAACACTGATGAGAATTGGGGTCTCATGAACCAGTCCTTCATATAGGATGGTAAACTCTTGTTGAAGACAAGGCACAAATGAAGGATGAGATCGTGCATAACATATCATGGTGGGCAGAAGGAAAGAGTCTTTGAAGATCACAGATTTATTACTATGGTTAAGAAGACCTGGCAAAATCAAGTTGGTGATTCAAGTTAGATTTGCTTCTCCAATGGGCAGATTATGGATTTCATTTTTAGTTAGAAATACTGGGATACATAAAAATTACAGAGAAATTGAGAGCAGTGTATGTAAATCATGTCATTTTCCTCTCACTGAGATAATTAAATAATTTGACATTGTTGGATGTTTTCTATTGGAAGTGAATCCTGTGTATATCTTACTTACGTGAGTAAGAACTTCAGTGGACTTAGTTCCATGGGTAAAGATAGGATTTGGGGATTTCTATATGAAATGGTGCATCCTGGAGTCTAAAATGAAAAGGCCTCATCATATAATATTGGAATTTGATTTTAGTTAGTATGTTATATAAATGAACATGCACTTGTGGGGGTTGGAACACTGAAGTTCACTCCTACAAATGGCAGGATAATTACAGTTGTCGTTAGGGCAGAAAAGAAAAGAAGCAAACAATGAAAGCAATTTGCAGTCCTAGCGGTATGGTGAGTGAGGAGTCTATGTTCAGTGTTGAGTCATTTTGCTGGCAAATCAATTTAAAACAAAACACACTAAATGTCCCACTCCTACAACTCACATATAGGTTAGTGCAGTCTCGCAAAACTGTCAAAAATTTACTGGGCACAAAATGATATCACCCACCTCATCTGAGGATAATGGTATTGGAAAGACTAATTCTATTTCAGTTGTTCATTAAGGCCTTGATTCCGCAAATAGGGTGTGCATGCACGCTTAACTTTACTACTGGGAATAGACCCTTTGAAATAAACTAAACTAAAGATAGTCAAGTTGAACAAAGCACAGCATGAGGTTGTCTGACACAGCAGGAGACTCCTATGTTCACAGAATCAGACTGAGGCATTAAAAAAAGGTGATGGGAGAACAGAATTTTGTGAAACTGCATTAGAAATTGAAAGAACAGGCAAATATAGTCCTGACCTTCTAATGAGCCACTGTTCAAAACTGTGTGAGAGGTAGAGAGAGAGGAATCTTGCCCTATTACTAAGGTGCCAATAGAGTGTACAAAACACTGAGCAATTTTTCTCATTGTAAATACAGTTTTCATATCTATGCCCATTCTCCAATTTCTTTTAATTCCTTTGTATGAATGCTATAAACAAATTCAAAGTTACACTTTGGAGTTTTTTGCTAAAAATTCTCAAATTCAAACAAAATGTTTTTTCCCCCCTTTATACATCTGTATAATTCTATAAATATGTCTATTAGACACAGGACCATATTCTTAGCTAGTGGCATAGATCCAAAGATGTCAAAGATGATAAGTTGATTTACAATAGTTGAGTAGCTGGCCTGTACCCTTAGGATATTGCCAATAATATGCAGATGAAATTTGGACCAAAGAAATGCAAGCAAAATTAACACATTGGACATAATTTTATCTAAAAGAAATAAAGTTTTTTCTCTTGTACACCTCTAACATCTATCCTTATAATGTGTGTATCCTTAATCAAACTGTCCGGAATCCATAAACAAAGTTAAAGGACATAGATTAGATATTTAAACTGTGTTAAATTATTGCTGCCTTAACCATATGTTTCAAATCCCTGCCATCAATCTCTGGGGTGGGCCTCTTGGTGTGCATCGATACTGCAGTGTTATTTCGAAATAACTATGCAAGTGTCTACATAGCCATTCCGTTACTTTGAAATAATTTTGAAATAATGGACAGCTTATTCCAAAATCTGTAAACCTCATTCTATGAGGAATAAAACCTATTCTGAAATAGCTATTTTATAAGAACATAAGAACATAAACTATTTCGAAATAAGGTGTGTGTAGATGCTCCATTGCTGCAATTTTGAAATAGCCCCTCACCAGGGCCATTCTAAGTTATTCTGCCCCTTGGGCTCTAAATCGAGATAGCACGTCTACATTAGGGGGAAGCCTGCCTTGGACTAATTTTGAGGCTTCCCTACAGCGTAGACGTGCTATTTCAAAATAAGATATTTTAGAATAACTATTCCAGAACAGCTTATTTCGAAATAAGCGTGCAATGTAGATGTACCCATGGTGTCTCTCTCTCTCCCACAAATAAAACTGCTATATCTTTCTAGAACTCTTCCAAAAAACCTCCCCACCATTAACTGCCATCTCTTCTTCTGCCTGATTTTCTTTGGCAGAGATTCAGAGGGCAAAATTTCCCCTCCCCGTTTTTTTGGCCTACTCTCCTAACATACCCTCTTTGAATGCCTCTAAATTGGCTTTCAATCACTTTCCAGTACTAAACATTTGAAACTCATTTTGCATCTTGTCACACCAAATCACCCTTGTTTGTGCAACAGCATAAATAACAGATGGCTTTTAAAATGAGTAGTCCTATAGCACTTTAGATACTAACAACTATATATATATAGTATGTATATATATAATGTTATCATGAGCTTTCGTGGATAAGCAGAGGAAGTATAAATATATATTTACTTATTTATTTGTTAATTAGTCTCTAAGGTGCTACAGGACTACTAGTTTTTTTGTTTTTGTTTTTTTAAAGTTACAGACTAACACAGCTATCCCTCTGAGACTTTTAACAGATGGCTTGTTTAGTCTGAGGTTAATTTTTAAGGCTAAATTATCATCTCCAAATAAATATAGATTTATAATAAAAAGCTGGCAGATTTTTAATTACTACTGATTGTCATTATGTGCAATTATTCTTTGCAGTAATTGCATTGTACAAGAACCTTTTAAAACAGAAAGATGGGCATATTTTCTGTTCTTCATACTCTTGAAATCTTCTCAGTCTATGTTTTGCAATTAGTTTAATTGGTTTGATGTTGCTTTCTTTCTGTTCGGCTCTTGAAAGATGGAAACTTATTCTGGAAGTGAAATTCCATAGGATACAATTGTGCATATTATTTTTTCTGATGCGGACCTACTTTTAAAATTGCTCTTTTTGTTGTGGCTTGGAGTGAAGAAAGTGTTTTTGAGTCACTTTTTATCATGCAGATTTGGAAAAAAATAAATAATCTTACAAATTTGCAATTTTCTTTCAATTAGTCTTGATTGTGTTGAATTGACAGTGCATTTTTCCCAATTTGTGAGTTAGAGTTCTGAGAATGGATCCTCATCTGCTGTTGATTGGTATAAAACCAGCTGTGGACCTGGTACCTAACCCCAGATGCTTTGAAAAACTTATGTGTCATTCCTTCTGTTTTATCAAATTACAGACTAGTGCAGAACTTATCGTACGATCAACAGAGCACTGATAGCATACTCTAAGGGGCAAAAGATCAACACAGCACTACCAGTGCTCTAGGTTTAGTTTATTATATAGTATGATGAAAGCAACATGCTTAAGAATACTGTGTCTGGTGCAAATCAGCATAACTCCAGTGAAAGGAATGCAGATATACCCCATTTGAGGACCTTATCCAATGATTCATCTGTAGATTTGAACATTTTCCTCATTATTTGCCTTTGCCTGCAAACATACATTGTCTTTATCTCTCACCACCTCTCCCCCCCCCCCCCCCCCCCCTCCACTGTCTCCCACAGCAGCAAACATTGGTATCTGGGATACTTCCGTTTTCATTGTGTTTAGAGTAAGAACAGTACAGGGGGAGGGGATACTTAAACTGTTAAAAATGTTGTTTTACAGTAAAGGTGACAACCATTTCTCTTTACTAAAAACAGCAGGCTCAATTCGGTCCATAAATTGCCCTAGATGACTCCCTCTGAAGTTGATAGAAAGTGTGAATATATATTGAAAGGAAGAATTGAACCTGGGAGAGCCCCCTGCTACTTCAACAGAAATACTCCATAACAAAACTGTATTCCAGACTTGCTCTGTGAAGCTGACATATAGTTACAATTTTCATCAATTTCAGTGGTAATTGTATAGGGCTGTTTGAGGACAGACCCAAGTTTGCTGTTTTCAGTCAAGAGAAACAGTCATCACCCCACCTATAAAACATCATTTTTAACAGTTTAAATACCCTCCAGTAGTGTTCTTTCTCCAAAAGCAGTGACAACATTGATTCTCCCGATTAAGCTGCTATTCAGCAGTTACAAATATTTTTATGAACATCAGGTGATCCAGACCCTTTCAAACTCCTGCCACAGGATTTCACTTTTTAACCTCCAGTGAAATTCAGAGGATGTCTACACCCTATGTACATTTTTTCATGTTCTCTGGATTTCTGCTCTAGGAACACCCATTGAAATCACTGGTTTAGATTAGCAATTGATGAGAAGTATGATAAAATTGAGGTTAGAGAGTGGTGGATCCCACATTATAAACCAGTTGGATCCTTTGGTATTACAATAACTAACAGCATACTCTAAGGGGCAAAAGACAACTGGTGAATCAGTAAGAATCAGAGAGAGGATAGTAGTGAAGGATCCAGACTATATTTACTGAAAGAAATCTGTATATTTGAGAGATCCTCCTGGAGTCAGATTCTTCAAGGTTAGTTAGCACAAGATTTGGGCCAATACATTTCTTCCTGTGTTATCAGGAAGAATAATAAGGAGAAGTGAGCATAACTGTCAAGTCCCTCTATATTCCCACAAACCCTTCTAACATTTGGTAATATGTCAGAGAAGAAAAAAAACCAGAAGCTAAAAGAAATACTTACTTGAAATAGAAGAAAATCCCTAGGGAAATCAACAGCGAAGTTATAGACAAAGCATGGCCTACTATAGCCATATAATAAAGTATATATGCCATCTGGAATAAAAAACAGAAAACATGACACACTAGCAAGGAGCAATTTAGTTCTTACTGTGAACAAGAATTTGCAAAACTAACCAACCAATTTTGATTTCTTTTTAATCAGAAGGCTATTTGAGATACTCCTGAAACATTCACAATGCATTGAAAGGCATGACTAAAAGTAAAGAGATGAGATTAAGTGTTTTTTTTTTTTTTAAGAAAATAGATCCATAATGCAAATAACACTTAAAACAAACAAACAAAAATTCTTCAAAAATCCTTTGGAAAAAAATTGTGTTGATTAAACCTCCCATGCCAGAGTCTCCTCTCACTTATACCAGTATGAACGAGTAAGTGACTGGGACAAATTTTACTCTCAGACTAGTGTAAGCCTAATGTAACTGGCTGGTCAACAGGAGTTACACCAATCAAAAGTTATTTATATAAAAGTGTGGTGGCAGGAGAAACAGACACCTGGCCAATATCATCAAAATATAAAATAGGCTTATTCGTGTTTCATTTGCTATCAATTTATCTTATGCATCTATAGAATGCACTATTCAAATGTCACATTTGTTCTTGGCCAAACCCTCTTGAGTGTCCTTAAGTTATAAAATGATTTATGGAAACTAACACTTGGGAAGGTTCCACTAGTACCTTCTTTAATGGATGAATTGATATATTAGTAGCGTACTTTGAAAAAATCATGGATTTGCTGCTCTACTAGGTTTACTTTCTTTTTGCAGATGCTTCATTAGTTCTTTTGTTGCACACAAGAAGTTTTCCTTTTTATTTTTTCATTTTAAATAATGAAATGAATTATTTAAAAAAGGAATGTCCTCCTCCACAAAATGTTTAAGTACTGTACCAGTATGTTAACCATTGTTTTCATATTCACCTCTGCTCCTCCACCCTCCCTTTTCCTACTATGTTTCTGGCAATGTGGGAAGAACTGTTTCAAAAACAATCCAACAACTCATCTCCCATTAGCATCTAGCTAGCTTCTAATTATCTAGCTTTCTTCAGTCGTGCTTCGCGTGATTCTGAATTTGTGGGAGTTATGAACACAAATTTTGCAGCTTAATTTTTAAAAAATCTTGAAAAATTAGTTCTTCATGGTGCAGGTATATTTTTTAAACTACTTGATATTCTCGCCATTTTACAGTTATGGTTTCAAGTCCTGCTGCCATTTGCTGCCTAGGATTCTCTTTCTTCTTTTTATCTTTGTTTACACCACAGTCACTTTCAACAATTCTGCCCATAGGAGCAGATTATTAGCCAGATTATTGGTACCAGAGTACTGTATAGTGGGCACAGTGTAAATAAGAATCAGCCCATCTGGCCTTATAGACTCAGAGTTTGATTGCTTCTACATACAGTGGCAATAGTACAAGGAACCTTCCTCGTCTTTATGCTCCTACACAGTGGCCAGCCACAATATGGCAAATGCTAAACTAGCAGCCCTGGTGATGAGAGAAACTCCAGATGAGGGGAGGATATGATGAGGACAAAACAACTTTCTTGACTATCTGATTAAAATATAATTTTGTCATGTATGTTCCTTGTCATTCCTTGACTGTTTGCTGAAGTTATGCTGTTGCTGTTAGGTATTTCTTAGTTAGCACATCTTCATAGCCAGAACTTAGTTAACATAGAAACCATCCCTAAACTTTTTGATTTGTTGCCATTCTTACATGCCAAAACTGCTATAAACCCGCTAAAAAAAGGAATCATACAATCATAGAATACTAGACCTGGAAGGGACCTCAAGAGTCCAATCCCCTGCCCTCACAATAGGACCTATATTATGCCTGATAAATGTCTGTCTAACCTGCTCTTGAAAATATTCAGTGATGGAGATTCCACAACCTGCCTAGGCAGTGTATTCCAGTGTTTAACCACCCTGACAGGACATTTTTCCTAATGTCCAATCTAAACTTCCCTTGCTGCAATTTAAGCCCATTGCTTCTTGTCTTATCCTTAGAAGCCAAAGAGAACAATTTTTCTCCCTCCTCCGCTTTTAGATACATGAAAACCGCTATCATGTCCCCTCTCAGTCTTCTCTTTTCTAAACTAAACGAGCCCAATTCTTTCAGTCTTTCCTCATAGCTCATGTTTTCTAGGTCTTTAATCATTCTTGTTGCTCTTCTCTGGACCTTCCCCAATTTTTCCACATCTTTTTGGAAATGTGGTGCCCAGAACTGGACATAATACTCCAACTGAGGCCTCATCAGCGCAGAGTAGAGCGGAAGAATGACTTCTCGTGTCTTGCTCACAACAGTCCTGTTAATGCATCCCAGAATCACATTTGGTTTTTTTGCAATTGTGCCACAATGTTGACTCAAATTTAACTTGTGGTTTACTATGACCCCTAGATCCATTTGTGCAGTACTCCTTCCTAGACAGCCACATCCCATTCTGTATGTGTGAAACTGGTTGCTCCTTCCTAAGTAGAGTACTTTGCATGTCTCCTTATTAAACTTCATCCCATTTAGCTCAGATCATTTCTCCATTTTGTCCAGATCATTTTGAATTATGATCCTATCCTCCAAAGCAGTTGCAACCCCTCCCAGCTTGTTATGATCTGCAAACTTAAATAGCATATTCTCTATGCCAGTATCTAAATCATTGATGAATATATTGAACAGAACCAGTCCCAAACCAGAGCCCTGCAGAACCCCATTTTTATGCCCTTTCAGCATGACTGCAAATCATTAATAACTACTCTGTGAGAACAGCCAGTTATGCACCCACCTTATAGTAGCCTCATCTAGGTTCTATTTCCCTAGTTCATTGATAAGAATGTCATGCGAGACCATATAAAATGCTTTACTGAAGTTTAGGTAGTATACCATATCCACTGTGTCTCCCTTATCCACAAGACTTATACTATCAAAGAAAGCTATCAGTTTGGTTTGACATGATTGTTTTTTACAAATCCATGTGCTGGCTGTTAGATATCACCTTCTTATCTTCCAGAAGTTTGCAGTTGAATTTCTTAATTAATTACTCCTTTATCTTTCCTACCACAGAAGTTAAACTGACTGGTCTGTAGTTTCCTTGTTGGTTGTTCTTATTTCCCTTTTCATAGATGGGCACTGTATTTGCCCTTTTACTGTCTTCTGGAATCTCTCTTGACTTCTCCTGATTTTTCAAAGATGATAGCTAAAGGCTCAGATACCTCCTCTATCAACTCCTTCAGTATCCTGGGATGCATTTCCTCAGGTCCTGGTGTCTTGCAGACATCTAACTTTTTAAAGTAATTTTTTACTTTTTTTTATTTTAACTTCTAAACTTACCCCATTTATACTACCTCTCTTTATTTTAGGCATCCTGTCACCAACAGGACAAAAACCGAAACAAAGAAGTAATTAACTACCTCTGCCATTTCCAGGTTTCCTGTTGTTATTTCTCCCTCTTCACAGAACAATGGGCCTACTCTGTCCTCGGTCTCCCTCTTGCTTCTAATATATTTGTAAAATGTCTTCTTGTTACTCTTTATGTCTTTAGCTGGATTGAGCTCATTTTGCACTTTTGCCTTTCTAATCTTGCCTTTGCATACTTGCGTTATTTGCCTATATTCATCCTTTGTAATTTGACCTAGTTTCTGCTTTTTATAGGACTTCTTTTTCATTTTTAGTTCATATAAGATCTCCTGGTTAAGCCAAGATGGTCTCCTGCCTTACTTTCTATCTTTCCTATGCAGTGGAGTAATTTGCTTTTGGGTCCTTAATAATGTGCCTTTAAAAAGCTGCTAACTCTCTTCAGTTGTTTTTCCTTTTAGTCTTGCTTCCCATGGGACCTTACCTAACAGCTCTATGAGTTCACTAAAATCTGCCTCCCCGAAATCCATTGTCTCTATTTTGCTCTATTTTTTCTCTTCTATCATTCCTTAGAATCATGAACACTACGTTTTCATGATCACTTTCACCCAAGCTACCTTCCACTTTAAATTTTCAACCAATTCCTTCCTACTTGTTAAAATCAAATCTAGAACAGCTTTCCCCAGTAGCTTTCTCAACCTTCTGAAGTAAAAAATAGTCTCCCATGCAGTCCAAGAATTTTATGGATAATCTGTGGTCTTCTGTGTTAGGTTTCCAACTAAAAAGCACTAGGATTATTAACATACAAATGAAAGTACCAAGTGTGTTTGTGTGTGTTTGTCTTGAAAGCCGGCCCCCCTTTCAAACGGTCTATGTAGGGCTTATGACATTTTAAACATATTACCACAAAGTTACCAACAACATTGTGAAAAAACCATAAAACAAACTGTGAGTTTGTTCAATGCATATTTCTAAAAATAAAAAAATGAAGGCAAATCTGAATATATTGGAAGGACAAATAATACAACTTATGGTGTATTTGCACAACTGTGATAGTCTTTGCCATGTAGATTGATGGACTGTTGTATCGTACAAATACAGAATATCTGGTATCACCTATTAAACCAGCTCAAATGTTAAAATGTTCTAAATCTGTATTTCTAAAAATACCATTTTGTACTACCTCATCTTCCATTTAGGATTTATAAAGCTTTGTATATAGCTTTTTGTCTTTGGTATGAAATATTTTTATGGTCACTTTTATCAACACTTTTTGATATGAAGGAACAATTTGCTAATGAAAATCTTAGAAAATAACACTTCTTGCTCCAAAGCTAATGAGATTTTCAGTATAGACTGGACAGAAGTCTATAAATTAGTCATATCTGTGTTTAGGAACACATGAATTAAAGATAAGCATACAATTTGGCATAACTGTAGAGATGGAGTCCTGCTCTAGAAAAAAAATTGGAAAAGGTGGAAAGAATCTAACATGAACAATTTTCCTTTGTATTTTATCTGCACGTTGGCTGAATTATATTTAAAATACGTCATCTGGAAGGCATGCTTAATGAGTAACAGAGTTACATTTTTGTCTCAGCATTGTGCCAATATCTAGAAAAACGACATTTTTACAGTCTTTTTATTCAATGGCTTTGGGCTCTCAAGTTAGTACTATTACTATAATAGTTG